ACAGTATATGAAATATTACATATGTTATAGAGATATCTGATGAAAGAAATGATGGATGGGAAATTTTCTTAAGCCTTTCAAGTTGACTTGGAGGAATTTAGAGTATTTTGCTTCTTCCCTGTGTTTTTTGTGGCAGCATGTATGCAGGCATGACAAAGATGCCCCTTAGGAAGTAATCTGTAAAATTCTATCAGGGCTTTTATTGCAAGATCAGCCTACAGAGTTGGACTTTCTAAAAAGAGATTCATATAGCTTCCCCCATATTTTATTGCATGTATAAAGAGAATAATCCTGCAAACTTTTGGATAATGAAGTATGGGGAAGCAGAGTTATAAAGAACATACATGGATTTAGGGGAGATGTAGAATTCTACTTTATTGACAGGACCAAGCTAATAGAAACTCTGTCATCTGTTATGGAATGGAGGCATAACAGTTCAGTGAGGAAAGATATGAAAGTGAGAAAATAGTGGAGGGGTAGGCAAACTTTTCAGGGCCAGAGGCATGTTGGGAATACGAGACCATGTAATAAGTGCACTTGCAAAATGGCTTCCATGGGAAACTTGGCCATTCACAAAATAGCTGCCATGGGAAAATTGCCCACAGAGAAAATGGTTGGCAAAGGAGAACCTGCCAAGTTACAAAATGGGTGCTATGATGAACTTGGCCATCATAAAACACCCATTTGACAGATGAATTCCCCACACTTGCAAGATGCTCTGAACCACCTCAGTGAGACCTTTGTTGTGTTCAGGAACATTCCTGTAAATAAATATGATGCTACAGGCATGTGTTTGGCTTTGTAGCATTTATGTTCTGGCTTATTTTATTTTGAATTGAAAAAATCCTTAAAAAGACAGGCGGGACAAGAAACCTAGTGAGCACCAAGAAAAGTCTCACGATGATGCCTGTAGGCACCATAGTGCTCATTCCTTCAGGTGAGCTTTTGCATACTGCATAGAGCAATGGGAACTTTTAAAGATCAGAGAATTTTTCAAACACTGCCTCCCCACTCTCTTTTTTTAATGGGCAATGGTTGTGTTTTTGCTGTATTCAATGCTAAAAAAATGATCCTGGCAAGCAAAAGGCCTCCTTGCTAATAAGACCTTCAGATAGTCCCATCCCTATACATGCAGGGTGGAGGGCCAAGTGTTGAAATGCGTGTCTCGATGTTGTTATGCAAATTTTGCCCTTTACACACTTGTGTGGGCTGACATGATACCCATAGGAAAGGATGGACCTTTCCTCAAGTTGCCCGTTCTGTCATTTTGGCATTGTCATGGCCAGGAATGGATGTCTTATAAGCTTTTGTACAGGAAAGAAGGCTTCAAGAAAAAATTGGACAACCATTTGTCCGAGATGGTATGAGGACTCCTGCCTTGGGCAGGTGTTGGACTAGAAGACCTCTGGGGTACCTTCCAATCCTATGATTCTATGATCCTAATTAGGCTCAAGATATATCTGAATCCAGGGCATATCCCATACCACCCAGTTATATTAAATTTAGATTAGGTTTTCAATTCCCATTTGTCAATGGAATAATAAATACTGTAACTCCATAACATAAACCAGTTAGAAATATAATAGAAAGGTTTTTTTCAATAATAATTCAGAGGTAGGAACTTGCCACAGAAAATGGTGATGAAACAGAATTTGGAAAACATTTATAAGAATTCTTTGGCAGAATTCCTGCCAATAATGTATTTATATATGTTGCTTTCTACAACTGTCCTGAGGTCTCCAGGTAGGTTGCAACATGTATAACAAGTAGATAACTAGATCAGTACAGATATATGTATTGCATCACTGTAATACAGAAAGCTTAGACTAGGAATGTATAATTTTTCTAACTGCCCTTCCCCTGTTTGTGTATGTTGTGGAGGGGAGGGAGAGTAAAAAATGTAATTTGACACCATGGGGAATAAAACATAGTTTACAATTTGTAATTGAGAAATATGATTATACTGAATTAAAATACTACAACGATGCAAGACATCTGTCCAATCCAGCCAATTCCCATAATTTATCTCTTTCAAAATTGCAGGGGAAAAGAGTGGTAGGTATCCACAATATCACATATCCATACGAGTACATGCTTTCACCTGACATGCACCCAGGATATCACTTCAGAGTCTTAGTTCTGTATCTGACAGAAAGAGACTAGCAATAGCAACTCAGGAGCAGCAAACTGAAAGTGAGACAAGCCACATGAACGTGTGACTCCTCCTTTCACACATTCCAGCAATTCTCAGCATGAAGGAAAACCAGTGCTCATGATTTTCAGATGCCACAGAGCTTTTGGTTTTGTGGTGAATGCAATCAGGCAGCTATTCAGTTAGAAGTAGGCTGCCATCCCTAGACCACGTATTTCACAGGTAGTGTGTGAGATTTGGAGGAAAGTGGTCTGTGGAACGCAGCATGTATAAAAATTGAACAAGCCTCTCTGTTTCTTCATATCTATAACGCATTTTAGAAGTCGATTTAATTATAAAATGCACTGAGCTTTCCAAAGTGCTAATTGTGACCTTCTTAGCAGGCGTGGAACTCACACAGACAGGCATGTGTTCTCCTTCGGCCACGTTCTGCAGCTACATTGACTGCAGTTCCTACGTTCATCCGCTTCTGGCTGGCTTTCAAATCTGTGGATGCTGATAGACTTAAAGATGGAGGGGGAGCTGGAAAAAGAAAGCAAGCACCCAAGTGGTCTTTTCTGAATGGGATGAGAGATTTCCCCCGCTCCCACCCAATGTGAATGTTATTGTCAATGGAATTAAGTAACAGGGCTCGCAAAAGAGAATACTGGAGAGAGAAATGCAAGGCAGGCTGAAAGAGAAACTGGCAGAAAGAGAGCAGGGATGAATGAGGCCTTTGTTTAACCTTCTCAAGCCATGAATAAGCAGCCTGCAGCTCTTAGATTCTTTGCAGATTGCCTGCAGAATGGAGGAGGAGCAAAGGCAAGAATGCAATTCACCCTCATTCCAAGAACTTGCTAGCAGAGGAACAAACTCAATTTTCTGTTGGAGTAAATTCCCTGGTCAAGAGAAAAGAAAAAGGCAAAGCAGGAGCACTTTATAATGCAGTGAACCTGCAGGCACAGGAATGAAAGGAGAGAGCCTGTGTAGCGCTCTCTTTTTTCATAGGCAATTCAGCATGCCAGTCTGGGGCTCTGGTTCTTGAGATCTCTGAAGGGGCCCATTCAGTCACTCAGAAACAATGCCAGTGCCGGCCACACTTCCAAGGGAGGGTCACATGGGGATCCAGAGATGGACTGGATGGGTGTGGGGTTTGTTTTTCTATTTCTGGGAATAATGATCATGTGAGTTACATGTGAGCGTGATGCTTATTTGAGGGGCTTGTGGTGATGGCAGAGCTATATGATTCTCCCAATTTAGATTTTAAAAAACGGCTGCTTCTCTCAGGCCTTCTGTAAGGGTGTGGGAAACTTGTGCATTAACTTAGGGATGGAAAGGGCCAAGTTAAAGGGCTACCCACCAGTCCTTGAACAAGCAGAAAACTACACTGGCATAACATTTGCTGTCCACACTGATGAACACTATCCTGTCGTAGGCACAATGCCAACAAGCGGTACTGTCAAGCCCCTTAACTGCCGAGCACGATCAAGGAACCAAGATTCACAGAGTCTTTCTTCAATTAGCTTTGATGCCGAAAATCAGGAGTCAGAGTACAAAATGTTAAGAACTGAGATAGGAACCCTCCAGCCCTCCTTAATCAGTGAGTTCATTAAAGTGGGGGCTCTTTGAAGCTTTTCTTCACAGAATGTTTGCATGAGTGCATATAGATCCTGTAACAGGATCTTCCATCCCAACTGTTTGTGTTTAGAATTATTTCTCTTTATCAAATTTAGCTTAATCTCCGATACAAAAGTATAATCTTCTTTTAGCTTAATCTCTCACAGGTACATGGTAGACAGGGCTTGCTAAAGACAGGAATTAGTAGGTTCCTCTGGTTTTTTCCTTCTCTCCTCCCACCAGATGTCATTGGCTAGTGGGAAAAAGAATTCTCTTTAATGTGAGATGAGGCTGGGGAATGTTAGTTTGACAGATGACTAGACCATTTATCAAAGCTTGCTCTGTTTTGTGCAGGTGCATTCAAAGGGGCCTGACATCTGCTGATAGTTGGGGTCCTTCAGGTCATAGGTTTGGTGGCATTCTGGAACACTTCCTTCAGCTCCTTGCCCAATTAAAGGGGAAAATGCTACTTTAACAAAAGAACAGCTAAGGATGACTAACCTGCCTCAGATACAGACTGGAGATGAGATAAAAGTCAAAAAGAATCTTTGCAGGATCTGTTCATGCCATGGTTAAGTGTAACCGGGAAAGGCCACAAATCAGGTAAAGACACTAATAGAGGTGCATTTTGTGAAGCATTTAAGTGCTGTGTTTTAAATCTGCCTACAGTATGTGAGCTGCAAACAGGATCATGCAGGGGCTCAACTTTTACAATACAACACATAGAGGATGAACTAAAACAGAAGAAACACCAAAACAAAATTGTACAATGTCTGTAGTAGACTTTGGTCTTTGCCAAAGTCTGAAATTCAGTTCAGAGATGCTGAATGGGAATTAAGTTACTCACTTAACTTGCAACTTGCAGCAAAGAGATATAGAAAACTGCCACCTAGTGGTCATCCAGATCTTTGCAGCCCAGATATGGTAGCGCTACTTTTGTGAATCTAGGACAGGTGGGTAGTTTATGGGACATTGTGTGCATAAACCATGGTTAAGCAAGTTCTGATACCATGACTTCCTAAAATGATAGATGTGTGTGCATGGCTCCCATCTCATAAATGATACTTGTGATTTCATTGGGGTTAAGGTTGGGCAAAAAATAAATATAACACTTACGTTTAATAACTCAGTTTTAATCCATATCTCAAAACAATGCTAACTTTGCTAACTTTACAAGATTTTAAAATAAAGCAGATAAAAATACTGAACTCTAACACATACTGTTCTATAGATGCTCCAAAGGCTATAGATATGCTATTACTCACAACACCAAAGGAGATATTGGAGAGACATAAATATTTCCAAGAGAAGCTGATCCAGCTATTGATGATCAGTGCGTGTATCTAATAATATTTTTTTCACATGATCAATAAGTGTCAGTTGTTATATTCTGCAGAAATGTCCATTTCTGTAAACAAGAAAAAAAGTTTACAAAATACATTACGCTTTAATCAAAGGAAGTTACAAAAACTATGTCAACATGTTGATATAACAATAGATTTAAATGGGTATCTTTAAACATTTTGTAAAATGAATCAATTTTATTAAGTTAGAATTAAAAGTCCTGAACATAAACAATAATGGAAAAATACAAATGTTTGGCAGTTCACAGAATTCTTGTGTCTCTGCTAAGAAAAGGAAGCAGATAGAAAACCGCTTAATAATACTCAAAAGTTTGAACTTCATTACCATGCCTGAAACAAAATGTTTTTCAATCTTGTGACCCCCACTCTAAGCTATCTGCAGCCCCTCTGATGGGGGGGGGGACATGACTCACAGTTTGAGAACACCTGGTTTCATGTTTTGCTAACACAAGAGTTGAAAGGCCTGCATTCTTCTTTCTTCCAATGTAACCTTCCAAGAGAACCGTATTGCCAAAGATTTTTCTGGACTCCCTCCAGCAACATCACTTGAAGGAATTTTTGTAAAAACCTTACATAAAATAAGTTGATGTGTGTTTTAGACTGTGACTTGGTAGTAAGTGGGAAGGAAGGAAGGAAGGAAGGAAGGAAGGAAGGAAGGAAGGAAGGAAGGAAGGAAGGACGGACATGCTACTTGCTGTTTAAAGCCAGAGTTCAGGATCAGTCTTATCTAACCTGGTGCCTCACAGATGTGTTGGACTACAGTGTTCAACTTTTCCAAGCAATTGTAAGAATTATGGGGGCTGTTGTCCACCACCACTAGAGAACACTAGTGTGGGAAGTTAATCCAGTTAGTCTTCCCTACAACCTGGACTACAACTCCCATTATACTTAATACAGCAATTGGAGATATATGGGGATAATGGTATATGTAGCCCAACATATTTGCAGAGCACCAGCCTGAGAAAGACTGACTTAGTTCAATATGCTTCTTTTGCAGTGGCCCATCAGATGCCCCTGGGAAGTCCTGAAGCAAGGTATGTAAACAGTAGTTTCTTAAGCCACTTTTCCAAAATTGTGGAAGGTGACTGCACTTTGGGAAAATTCTGGGCAACTAGAGGGTTTGTGTAAAACGTGTGTATGTAGTATCTGCAGAGATGCAAGAAGATTGCAGGGATACAGCCCTCTGATGACAATTGCCAATCCATTGGGCCGTAAATGTGATTGGAAGTGGGGAGCCAATACAAATTGGGTGGTGGAGGGAAGGGAGCTTTTGACTTGTTTCCTGCCTGGCCAAATCACTCAGGCAGGTGTGAACTCACCCAGGTTACAGGATCTAGCCCTGCCATAAATGCCTGACTGCTGATATCTCCTGAGGTACGGATGTTGCAAATGAACATATTTGTTTCTGCTTTAGGGATTTTGCTGTGCATAATAATGCATCTCTCGTAATGAGAACTACAGGAGTTTTATACATTTAAATTTGTCCAATTAATTATCCAGGAATGTTTTAATAGGCTTTATCACTGTAATTTCATTCTGAAACAAATATTTTTTATTGGATCAAAGATTAGTTTTTGTTCTTGTTTTTATCCCCCTTACCATTTTCTTTGTGGCATGGCAGCATCTTCTTATACCAAGGGGGGGGGGACCCTCTTCTTCATCTTCTCCCCACCCTATTCCACTCCTATATTTCAAGTACAAAAAGTAAACATAATGGTTAGAAAATAAATCATATTCTTTCAAAAAATCATTTTGTAAATTACTTTGCAAAGCAACAGCTATGCCATGCCATCATGAACAGCTTTCCATTCATGCATACAAGGAGATTTTAGTAATATACCCGGTGGCCATTCCACATGGGACAAGATGACAGATCAAAATATCAAAACAGGGGTGCATATTTTGCCCTAAGGGTGATTCCGGAAGCTATGTGAACCTTCTCCCTCACCTTGACCATCTCTCAGAATTTTAGACAAGTCAAGAAATATAAGAAACAGCAGTGGGAACTGGATTGTGCGCAAGAATCTTTGGGTCAGATTTCTGCACTAGCCAAGCTATTTCATAGAATTGTTTGGATAAAAAGGAATGACTTCAGGAACACTGTCCTGAGCAACTTGAAGGAAGTATGTGATACAAATGTAAGCAATAATATGTTTAAATGTAATAATAGCACTACGTAACAGCCCCCCAGGACCAAATTATTATATATGAATGAATGAATGAATGAATGAATGAATGAATGAATGAATGAATGAAAGTTGCAGTGGGCTCAATGTAAATCATGAACATGTTGGTAGAAGTGGTTGCAGTAGGGGAGCAAATACGGTGGTACCAATCTTTTTGTTTGGCTGGTTACTATATTTATATCCTGCTTTTCCTTTAGGACAGGAATGGGCAACATGCTTTGGCCATTTCTCATTTGGACTCTTGCAATGCAGTCTACATGGGGCCACCTTTGAAGAGCACTTGGAAGCTACAGCTGGTTCAGAAAGCAGTGGCTTTGGTAGTTATGGGCATGTCATGATTTGCCCATGTAAACCTTTTCCTCCCGAGCTGCACTCATTATAAGATTGTTTCCATTTTAAAGCCTTGCATGGTTCAGGTTCTTATCCTGAGGACCTTCTGGGATCTCATAGGTGGGTCTTTTCAATTGCTGCCCCCTACTTTGGAAAAACATTTCCCATGAGATCCATATGGCTCCAATCTTACTGGGTTTCAGAAAGGTTATGAAAAGCTTTTTTTTTTCCCAGCAGGCTTTGGGGACGTTATTCAGCCTTAAACAACAGTCATTATTTACAGTCATACTTTTGTGGCGCTCAGATAATTCAAGCTGTGATAGACTCCAGATGAATGCTTGGAAATTATTTCAAATGGATGTTGTTTGTGTACATACATTCCCCTTGTCTTCCATAATACTGGTTACTTCATGGGATCATTGCAAGAGTAAATTAAGGATCCATCTAATCTCTCATCTAGTTTTCACACAAGCCAAATTGTGAGATACTAGAAGCTGAACACACAAAGAATAACCCTTCCTCAGTGAACTCACTGAAGTTCAGTGTTAAAGGATGCAGGTTGAGGATGCATGTTCTCTGTAGTCATCATGGCAGAGAAATGTTAATAATTAATTGGTCTAATCCCTTTTTAAAGCTATGTTAAGTTAGAGCCATTGTCAGAAGGCAATGGCAAACCACTTCCGTACTGTCGCCAAGTAAGTTTCATGCATGTGTCCATGAAGCCACAACAAAGTTGTTATTTCACGTTAAACTAATGACTATCACAATATTTAGTGTTTTATCTAGTGGCAGTGAACTTCAAAATATAATGACTCAGTGGCTGCACACCTACTTAGACATCACATTTACCTGCGTCAAAGCATTCATCTCCCCTGCCCAGACAAGGGTTATTGGATGCTTTAGATGTATATGCATGACTAGGATCAGATCTATGATTTATATTTGCAGTTACTGTGTACATAATTTGTTGTTACCATTAGAATCCCATGAACCCTAGGAGAGCCTCAAGGGAGAAGGGTTGACCTGAAAAGATTTCAACAGTATGGAATAGATGTTCATGACAGTGTTTAGAACCATGAACTCAATGTGTGTGCTTGTTTTTGTACATTTTTTTATTGCAGTCAATGAACAGTCAATGAAGTCAATGTTTCTAACAATAAATGATGGGCTATTTCCAGTTTGTTCAATTTTGTGGGCCTCCATTCACTCTACTTAATCATTCTTATTACATTGCCTCTAATACTTAGAAAGCAAAAAGAAATTAATGAGACTATGCTATCACATAATTTGTATGATGTTCCTCACTATCTCTGTCCTACCTTCAATGCAAATTTGACCAGAATTCTGTATTCTGTATTCAAATCAAATATGTTCATGCCAGTAACAGCAATCAATATTTATTACATATGTAGACTCCCATATGGCATTTAGGTATTAATAAATCCAAAATTGGCTCAGAGAGCCACTTCACATATTTGGGCTGGATCCAGACTAAATTAGCAGAGCTTACATCCTATTGAAGTCAGTGGCAAAAATTAGTTATGATTAAGCCCTGTTGACTTCAGTAGGATCCAACCCACTACAGTACATTGGGAAAGAATTATTTTATACCCAGAATACCTTCAATACACACTTAAAATGGCAAGTATATCTCTGCAAAACTGTATCATTCAAGTATTCTTGTCAGATTGACTGCAGGCAACTTAAAATTCTAAAACAGTCTGTGAATTGGCTCCACTAATTTCCCATTCAGCTTTCAGAATATTGTTTTGTTTCTAAAGGAGATTAAAACTTTGGTGCCACCAAACAGCTAAGGAGCATGCCAAAGCAGTAACTGGAGGACATACTTTGTGATCCCCTGATATTTCATATATAACTCTGCAATAATCTCTGCTTTATAGTATCTTAACTGACTAATCTACATCTGTGCAGTGAAAATATTGTTTATTAGGCTAATTGCTATTGTAAAAAGTATAGCAGATATTACAAACCAATCATAGAAGGTTGGGGAGGGGGGACAACTAATCTAGTTCCATCAGGCAGCCCAAATTGATGCTGATCATTAGCAATCTCATAATTCTACCTTGCACTGCTGGAGTAATAGAAAGGTGATGAAGGAAATTATCAAGAGACTTGCTAATGTTTGCTTGAAAGCTCCTCTCTGGTTCTCTGGCTCTTCTCAGCACAGAAAGCACATTGCATGCAGATAGTGCACTGCACTACAACCACACAACTATACCAAGTCACTTTATAGAGGACCAGTAGTGTCCCGCAGGTGGAGTTCTTGAGAGCATTGGAATGCAAGAATGCATAAATAATTGCTTTTTTTTTTTTCGATACAAGTAAGGCGAGTCCCCCAAGCTCATTAAAACAAATTGAAGTTTTAAAACCTGTATTACTTCAAAAAATTAATTTACAGCTGTAGGGCTCAATGGCCCAGAGAACATTAAAGTGATAAATCCAGAAAGGTGATGTGATTAGAAAAGAATGCTTCTTTGGCTGCAACATGCAGGGCAGAGCAGGAACGGAGCAGGGATTTGTGTTAGAGTTTTACTTTTGCTTCACCGTTTCTGGATTTACAGGGGTAATGAAAGCAGATGAAAATTCAACTCATACAAAGCATGCACTATACATATATATTGTGTGTACATCTACCTTGCACACATATACACACATAGATAAATCCATTAATTCAAAACTGAATTATTTAATCCCCCCAGTACCTGACTGTTTATTATCCAAGCACTTTATATAACTTTAAATTCATTCACACATTCTATTTTATATTAAGCAGCATCACTAGTAGTAATAATCCAAATTTAGCAGCTATATTTTAAAAATGCAGATACTAAATTGTATTAATTAATGGAATTTATCTGCCGGCTTCTGTTGATTGGTGGTGCGTTAATTTATTTCATGTGAACTACTGAAAGTGCAAATATTTTATTTTTCCAGAGCTTTTGAAGAAGAAAGCAGATGATTATTTAAAACTGAAGAATTCCCAGTCATAGGGTCCCAACAAATCTGGAGCTTACCAGGTCTGACAGTCTGAACTAAACTGTCAAAAAAGTGACATGGCAGTAACTCACCAGAATGATATCAACATGGAAAGTACACTCCCAAATTATAACCAAAGGGTTTAATGAATATACAGTGGATATAACAACTGCCCAGTCCTCTTAAAGAAATTGTAACGAGAATGAATTAGCCCTTGGACGAAGTCCTTGGCATACAGTGGGTCAAAAAAGTATTTAGTCAGCCACCAATTGTGCAAGTTCTCCCACTTAAAAAGATGAGAGAGGCCTGTAAT